TGTTCAATCACTCTTCCATATCCCTATCAAAATTGCAAATGGAAGCCTTGTCAATGGGTTCGAAGTTTTGCGATGTTAATCTCAATATCAACAAGCTAAATACACATGTCCAGTTTGAGAATCTACTCAGTCAAACTTATGATCTCACACCATCGTCAGAACAGGACTTCCAATGCTTCAAATCTACAATCACTGACTCTTGCAATCAATACCTTAATGCAAGATCAAAAATGCAAAGTCTTCTGACCAAACAGCACAAAGAAGAACTTAAACTTTTGACGCATAACAACGATATATTACTAACACGCCCTGACAAGGGTGCAGGTGTTGTTATTATGGATCGTAAGGATTATATCGACAAAATGTCAGGTCTACTTTCAGACAGCAGTAAGTTCTCGAAACCGAACGAGAAAAATAAGACGGATTTAATTGAAAAAGAACTTACAGAAGCTTTAAAAAGAATGAAGAACAATCATCTCATTCGTGAAGAATTATACGAAAAGATCAGACCAACAGGATCTCTAATACCAAGACTCTACGGTCTACCGAAAATACACAAAGCTGGCCTTCCACTCCGCCCTATCTTGGATATGTCTGGATCGCCCTATCATCCAGTAGCTGGATGGCTAGCTGAAATCCTTGAACCTGTCAGGGAACAGCTATCTAATCATTCTCTCCGGGACACCTTCCAATTTGTTGAATGTATACAGGATATAAATGCGTCGAATAAACATATGTTGTCTTTGGACGTAGAATCCCTATTTACGAACGTTCCACTGACAGAAACTATATGTTTTATATGCAAATATATAGAAGACAACAAATTGAATATAGGAATACCCACTACAGATCTGAAAGAACTACTTCTGAGATGTACATTGAATGTACAGTTTACTTTTAATGAAGCTATCTACAGACAGAAGGATGGTATTGCAATGGGTTCTCCCTTGGGTCCTCTCCTTGCAGACTGTTTTATGTCCAGTCTAGAAAATGATCAGCTGAAGCCTATAATCCAAAGTTTTCAAATGTATAAAAGGTACGTAGATGACACCTTTATTATTTGTAATAGTGATTGTAACTTAAATAATATATTAGATGTATTTAATGGTTGCCATCCGGCGATAAAATTCACACTCGAAATGGAGAACGAGTCTAGCATGCATTTCCTCGATGTGAACTTATCAAGAAGGACCGATGGAACCCTGAAAAGATCGATTTATCGCAAGCTGTCATGGAATGGTCAACTGACAAATTTCTACAGTTGGGTACCCATTGGTCGAAAACGAAACCTGATCCGGTCGCTTGCCACTCGTATTCGGCGCATATGTAGCCCTGATACTGTGGAAGATGAGCTATACATCTTGAGGAAAGTCCTAATAGAAAATGGATTTCCACCACGTTTTATAGATAAGAATATTCATTCAAATCCTAAAAAACGTGAGTTATCAACCGTACCCAAGAAGACACTTTACATGAGCTTGGAATTCAAAGGGGACTTAGCTTCCGATATCATGAAACGGAGGATATCACAATCCCTGAAAAGAACATTCCCTGCTGCATCCCTGAGAATAGCCTTTTCTAGTCGACCATTATTGTTCAATAACCTGAAGGACAAAATCCCGCTGTTGACCAACTCTATGTGTGTTTATCAATTCACCTGCTCTTGTGGAGCTAGGTATATCGGTCGTTCGACACGAGTTTTGTCCAAGAGGGTGCAAGAACACTATCCTGCATGGTTACGAAAAGGTGGTAGTGGAGCAATAAGAAGCGCGATCATTGAACATCTGGTCGATAATGATCACCCTATCTCTATAGCCTCCGCCTTCAAAGTCATCTACAAGGCAAAGAGTAATCTACCCAAATCCCTACGTACCCGACTCATCTGTATTGCTGAAGCTTTGGCTATCGACACAGAAAAGCCAGATCTCTGTGTACAGAAGAAGTTCGTTCAACCCCTCCAACTTTCATGGTCTTAATCCCTCTATGCTAAAGTATGGCAATCCCCAATCATACTTTAGCTCTACCAACTCTCCATTTTTTCATTTTTTCATTTTTGTCTATTCAATTTGTATACTCTTCCCTATTAAGTCAATTGTTACTATTACTACTCTCACTTTTAATTGTCCCCGGTATTATTTCACTTGTTCCACTTGTCATTCTAAATCAATTCCTTTATGCAACATTAAATTCTATGCTATTAAATTTCACACAATATTACGTAACGTTTTTATTTTTTCGATTTGTCTACTAATCTTATAATTGCACACCTTTTTCAAGTTCTATCCATCCTATGAATTATTCTATATATGACATTAATTTGCTTTGCCACTTGACCTTTAACTACGATTATAATCACAAACATTTTAGTTTTAATTGCACCTCATATTATTATTATTTCATGCATTCACACCTATGTTTCAATTCCCTCACCGGATATAACTTCTTAAAAACCATATATATACGATTGTACAGCTTGATGATAAATTCGTTGAAAAGAGTCTCTTCGCTGAATCATTTGTTTTGATTTTCTATATGTTACAATGGGAATTTTCCATGATTTACGATTATAATCACAAACATTTTAGTTTTAATTGCATTTCATATTATTATTATTATTTTATGCATTCACACCTATGATTTAATTCCCTCAACGGATATAACTTCTTAAAAACTAAGGAGTTAGCAATTTTATTCATTTCTTTTTTAATATGCGCTCACTTCAATTTCATTACCTGTTTTATCTCTTTAAGATCTTTCAAGCATTACTTTCTTTTCAAGAATTGGTTTATAAGAATTTGGGGGGTTTGAAACCCAGTGGGTGAGTACTGTCGATGAGTCTCAAACAAGGAAGAAAAAAACTCTTCAGTCGTCCCTGGTTTTCAACGATCTCCTATGCAAATTTCTCTTTACGCTATCATCTGATTTTCTTGTAAGGAGAACATCTAGGAAGGCAATTCTGTGTTTGGGATTCCTCTTCGCACGTGAATTTCATAGCAGAATGTACTTCACTGAATTGAGTTACTCTTATGGTGTTCTTATCCGAATCATTATCACAAAGAATAAAGGTGTCATCCATATACCGGCAATAAAATGAAAATTTTCTGATAAGGCTGTTCGAAGATCCATTTTCTAGTTTACTTAGAAAGAAATCTGTCGAAATGGGCCCCAGTGGGGAGCCCATCGCCGCCACTTCGTCCACTTGTCTGTAAAGTGTGCCGTCAAATTTGAAATTTACATTCATAGTACACCTTAATAACAATTCTTTTTAGGATTTCCGTTGGGATGCCAATATTTATCGACTGGTTATACACTTGTTCACCTATGTTGTAGTTAACCGTATCTACTAGAGGGGTACATTTATGAATAAAGATGTTATGTCCAAAGACATCATAGTTTTATCCTTAATTTTAATGCAACAAACAGCAGAGGCTATCGCGATTTACGTGAAAAAACCAGTGCTCTGTGTGCAGAAGAAACAAGTTCAATCAGCCACTACTACCGCCCTGACCGGCCTTCAACGGGGTCTATGAATTCATGAATTTGTATTATTATCTTGCTTAATTTTCCAGATATTCAGTGTAGTGCAGTGTTATGTTGATGCTATTGAACTAACTGGATTAGGATAACACAAAAATACCAATAATAATTATAAAATCAATAATAATAATAATAATCATGGTCACAGGATTTTCATCATGAGCTGACATTAGTTAGAGAACCATTGGAAAACCTGGGAGTACTGGACAGCTGTTTCGTCCTAGTTTGGGACTCTTCAGCAGTATGGGATTCGAACCCAGGACCCTCTGGTTACAAGGCGAGCTCGTATACCATTAAGCCACTGGGACCCGATCCAATGGCCAGACCACGAATTCTAACTTCTGCCAATTCACGACATAGCGCGATGGCTAGCCAATGTCTTCGGTGAGTATCTGTCCTCACACCCGACGTGCTGCGCCCTACTGGTCATGGTTTTCTATCTGATATAAATCCGTGGTCAAACTTGAACCAACATCAATTAGGGATCGTTGAAAACCAGGGAGCACTGAACACCTGTTTTCTCCTGGTCTAGGAACACTTCAGTAGTGTTCAACCGACGACGCTACCAGGGATCAAACCCGGAACCTTCAAGGTTACAGGTTCAAGTTTGCTGATCACTCACTCAACCAGGTAGGGTCATACGTGCCACCCACTGCTGAAGAGTTCCAAACCATGACGAAATAGCTGTCCAGTGATTCCTAGTTTTCAAAGATCTTGAAATCGCAGCTGGTTCGTGAAAAAAATATACACTGAAATTAATCCAAATTCTTGCAAACAAACAACCATAATCTAAATAATACTAATGATACTGGCCAAGTTACAGTATAACGACCTAAGAGCGCGAACGCACCAGTGGCCTTGAACGCATGCTATTCACTGGATAACGAGGCCTACCAGTATTATAGTGTCAATATGAATGAATTGAGGTGAGAATTTCACCCCGATCTAGTTTTAAAGTACTGTTCGACAATGTATTGAAAGCTCGTTACGGTTGCGTTGAAGGTTAGGATTACGGCTAAGGTGTTTTACTTTTATTATCTGCATTTTTCCAGTCAACAGTTGTCGACTCTCTTACTGTAACCCATACTAATTCAATCGAGGGCTTTTAGGGGAGACGGAAAAGACAGGATAGGGGGCGATAAATGCGTCCACAAAAAGAACTTATCTTCAGTTACCTAGATGAACACGTGTACAGTAACTGGTTTTAACCTAAAAACTAATACTTCTAATTATGATTGGGACACATTTTTAAATCACCTCATGATAAAATATCCTGTTTAGTGTGTTCAGTCACTATTCTCTGTATTTCTCTTGTGAGTAAAAGTCATTTTTATGTGCGGACCACTGGTTTTTCTGATTGGTCGGTCCAACATCAGTCGTGCGTTCGCCTTCCATAGATCGTTATATCTTCACTTTGCCACGATATTAATAATAATAATAATAATAACAAAGTAACTACCTACCTGTCCTTGCCATCCATTAATTGTCGACAACAGGACATTGATGTCGTATTCCTTGAATTTTCTAAGAATTGCACATCTTTCCTGAATTATTTTGTATAATGGGTTATAAAACAAGAAATTAATAAATACTTAAAACAGAAGACCATAGACAAATAAAAACACTGACATCATGAAAGTGTGTCGCTACGAAATGTCATCAAAACAAAGACTGTTAAAAAAAACAATAGGTTCAAGTTTTCCGGTGAAATTAGACTACATTTTCCCTACCAAACTTGAAATTTATGTAAAGCAATAAGAAGACGTAATTTGTCGAATCGTTTAATGTATTTGTGCAACACATTTCGAACAATTTCACACACGGATTTGTCATAGCAATATATATGAAATTAATAAAGATGGGTCAATAAAAAGATCTATTTATAGAAAACCTACCTGGACAGGACAGTATCTTAATTACCACAGTTTCTGCCATGTTCGGTACAAAAGAGCCTTAGTAAGGTGCCTCTTCAGTCGAATCCAACGAATATGCACTGAAGACACACTTGATGAAGAAGAAAGAAAGTTGACACAAACTCTGGTTGATAACAATTATCCAGACAAGTTCATCAGGAGATATAAAGTAGTGAGGACACCAAGATCTACTCTCCAACTCGCCCCTAAGAAAGACGTGTACATCAAGCTACCCTATATGGGGTATCATAGCAGCTTGATAACTAGACAAAGACTGAACACTGCTGTCAAAAAGACTTTTTATGTAGCCAATACCATAATAATAGAGAATGTAAAGCCAATATATCTATCTAAGCCCTTCGAGCATGCGAAAAATGACGTCACATCTCACTGTATTTACCAATTTGAATGTACATGTGGACACACATACATAGGGAGGACTCATCGATCTCTGCAAATATGGGCTGGTTTCAGAGCATATTCCTAAATGGTTCCAGAAACAAATGGAATCTTCAGAACCTATTAATGGTGAGAACAGGAGACCTAGCTCTTCTATTGCGAAACATGTTATGGAGACAGGACATAAAAATGACGCTAACAGATCTCTTAAACCTATCTATAAAACGTGTTTGGGGAGTATCCTTAAGTTTGTGGAAGCCCTAGCTGGCAATTATAGAGTTTAAATCACCTCTATGCGTTGAAAAACAATTCGTCATCACATCAAACCTTCCTTGGTAAACTTTGTTTTGATACCATGGTAGATGTACTATTATCTCTGTTATTCGGTTTAGTGACCTTCACTGTTATTTCGACCTTCAATATATCATTTTAACTTGACCTAAGTCTATTTTCTCACCTCTTACCTCTTTATTAATTTCATATGTATTCCTATGACAAGTCCGTGTATGATCAGATTGTTCGAAATGTGTTACGCAAATAAAACATTACACAATTCAGACAAATTACGTCTTCTTATTGCTTTATCTAAATTCAGAAAGGAAACTTGAAATGTTTAAATCACAATGTGTAACCCCCTCCGTATATCACAAATAATATTCACAGAAATCAATTGAGACCGATTTCACCGTTTGAGTAGAGCGAGTGAGTCCAGGCAAATAATTACTGATGAACCTAGCTCCCAAACAAACAAGTGAAATAGTCAACCGATGTCCACATCATCCATCACATTGATCTGTTTAGCAAGCACTACTATACTACTTGACGCGAGCAGTTTTCAGTTACTTATACCAATATCAGTAGTATATAACATGAAAAGATAATGACACACGAAACATAAGCGTAAAGGTGTCTCTCCTCCAACTACCACTTTGTTATTGGAGACGAAACTTTTAGTCTACTCCACTTATTTCCCCAACCGACAGCTGTTGCCTCGATCTAAATGTTCTTGTAGGCATTACCACGCCAGAAAGGTTGTTTGAATAGCGGTTATACAAAGAGAAGTCACAATCATAGTGTGAGTTGTTGAGGGTCTGTGGACGATTATCGTACAGCTGACGAACAGGGATGTAACAGCACTAAGGTGTTTCCCTCAGATGACCAGAAATAACCAGCAGTGCTGCCTCTCTGATTTGAAGAGTGGGGCTTACCAAAGGTCAACTTCAAAAATTGTACGTCCCAACTCACCTTCTGGAGGTCCGTCTCTAATGATAAGATCTTAGTACGGATACAACTCCAGAAAACAACTCAAACAAGCCTGTGTGTGTGTGACCGACCCCAAACAGTTCTCTCCTTTTCTCTGTCACCACACAACCACAAATGGTTCTTCTGTCCCAGGTAACCCTAGAGGAAACTAACCTCTGTAGTGTGAGCAGTAGCGAAGTGATAACTGCCCACAGGCTGCCACAAGCCCACAAAAAGCTTCTCTGATTATCACTTTCACTTCTATTTACTTTCACGATCAACACTAACAACCTACAGGTAGTTCCCTTCATAAGTTTGAATGAAGAAATAACGAACATATTTGTAGGATAATACGAGCTCGCTTTATTCCGTGGATTCTCTTCAACTCCATACATCCTAAACAAATCCAAATTATTGGTTACGAAATTTCTGAACATACTTTTTTCACAGTGATGCCGAGTTATAGAAAGAAAGTATAGGTAACAGAATTCCAAAGATAATGTAAACTAGACACTTTATTCAGCATTAAAAGACTAACTATTATAGTATTGCTAGACAAGGTGAGTAGAGTTCAGATTTCTCTTGGAAAAAAAGGATAGACTACAATCAAAGTAAGTATGGTATGTGCTTTGCGCCGTCTAAGTGCAAAGTACTGTTACAAGATTGGCATGAGCCTGTACCTGCACTCACTCTTGCAGATGAACCACTTGAAGTTGTAGATAAGTTTGTGTATCTAGGTAGTTGTGTGAGTGCTGGCGGAGGCGTGACGGATGAGATTTCCAACCGTATCAGGGTGCCATACGTTAACTTGAGCCACCTCTGGAGTCGTCGCGACGTTAGCCTAGCTGTCATAGGTTGGGTTTACAATGCTTCGGTTTGTGCTGTCTTGCTCTACGCTTGTGAAACCTGGCTTCTCCGAGCTGACGATGTGCGGCGGCTCTGCGTATCCGATCATCGCTGTCTCCACAGGATTGCTTGCGTTCGATGGCATCATCGCGTGAGTAATTCTGAGGTCCGGCGGCGTTTTTGATACAGTAGAGATCACCATTCGTTGAGTGTCGTCATCTGAAAACACCGGATTCGGTGGCTTGGACATGTGCTGCGAATGTCATCCCATAGGCTTCCGCAATGGTGATCTCTGTTCGCTAGCCCTGGAACGGGATGGAAAAGGCGGAGAGGTGGTCAGCCCATGACGTGGCGTCGTGGGATGAAGGATATTTGTGTGGGTTAGCATCAGTTAGTGCGTCACGACTCTCTGGTTGGAGTCCGATAGATAGCTCGAATCAGTGGCTCGCTTGAAACGTTATCGGATATGGTCAAGAATCGCAGTCATCAATGGTGAACCTGCTGCATTTTCCTTCTTCTCTTCCCGACGATAATTGACGAATGATGTTTGAACTTGATGTTAAATATGACTGTTTTCTTCCAGATGAAGTTCTTTATCCGTTCTCTACCTACATTTTTACTTTTAATCTATGTTGTTTTATTCTTATTGTGTGGCGCTAACAGAGTTAATCGATACATATTATGATGGAGAGTTCAGGAGGGAGGGTGAGGGTGAATAGTAAATGCAATTATAAGATAAACAGAAAAACAGTTAGATAGATTTGGAAACTTAATAGTGAGTTCAACTCAGTCAGTAAGTGAAAATCAAAATTGAATGGAATGTTATACAACAGAACAAAAGACAAAACCGCACACACGAACAAAACAATTACGGTTACCAGGATAGTGAGAAATTAGTCACACTATCTTTCTGTATGCATAGGTTGGGTCGGAGTCTTTTGTTGGCAATAGCTTCTGACCTTGTCTAATTAATATATAAATAGTTACTCTTTCAACACTGAATAATTCATCTACTAACATCACTGATATCAGAAGAGAACTTGGGCATTGTGGTAGAGTATAATGCCATTATGGAGAAAATTTTATTTTAATAAAGTAACACAGTGTTATACAGTAATATTTCTGATGATGTTTCGAGGAGTAAATATTACTGTATAACGCTGTGAGCCTTTTGACTGGACACTATCTAGTGTCACGTGCCTGATTGACTGATTTCTATCAGTCAAGTTTGCAATGTGGCCACCATGCCAATTGGTGGCTCGCCATCACCGTACATTAGATGGTTGAAAGCAATCGGCAGGAACCCTTGGACCTAGGTTTCGTGCTTGTTGGCACTGATAGAGTTCAGTCTGCAGTAAACAAAGGATTAAACACATGAGATTAGTTAGTGTCCAATCAAAATTATCTAACACAGTCCTGTCTTGGAAGTGTGTGGGCGATTGTTACTTCCTGGCTGCCCACACCATGGAAGTTGTTTGATTCTTCGGGTACCTGAAACAGAGAGAGGGTTAGTGTTGTGTGACTGCAGAGCCCAGGGGACAACTGCTTGAGCCGGCCGGTCACACACGGCCTGTATGAACTGGTTTCTTGGTTTGGTTCCGTATTAGTAAACTTACCACCGGTTACGGACCACCGTAGGGTAAGTCGGGATGTACAATTGTTGGGGTCGACCTTTTCTAACCCCCTCTCTCCGTCCAGAGTGGAGAGACAGCATAGCTGGCATGCTGGTCCTCTAAGGGAAACACCTCACTGCTGTTACATTCCTGTTCCTCAGCAGTACGACTTCGCCTACAGACCCCCAGCATAGTTACACTAAGCCGGTAACTGCTTTTAGTCTAATCGCTATCCTAACAACCTTCCTGGCATGGTAGGACCTGCAGGAATATTGGTTCCAGCCAGTGTAGCTTGTTGGGTCATTGCGATGTGCAAGCCCGACCACCACGTCAAGGTAGCAGCTATCGGTCAGGTAATGCAGTCCTACAGGAGGTCAATCGCGATCCCGGATAGCTTAGTGGTAACATCTCTGACTAACTGCAGCACTGGGTGACACGGGTTCGAATCTCAGAAGGGATATGATTTCCTTCAAGACTGCAGATACGCCTTGCTGACTGGTGGGTGAGTGCCAACAAGCACGAAACCTAGGTGAGGTAAGGCTTCCTACCGATTGCCTCCAACCATCTAATAACCAACTGTGAGACTTTATCAAAATAAAATTTTCTCCATAATGGTGCTTCCACCATTCCTGGAATTCTGTTGCTTTCACACTTCTATCTATAACTCAACGTCACTGTGAAAAAAGTATGTTCAGAAAGTTAGTAATTTATAAGTGATTTTGTTTAGGATGTACGCAGTTGAAGAGAATTACAGAAAGCAATTATTATCCTGCAAATATGTTCGTTCTTTCTTTATTTAAAAAGTTAAGCTTCCTAATTGCTTAAAATAAACCACAAAAGTCGTGACCAGTGAGGTCCATCGAGTCAAGTGTGGGGATGAATTTCCCATCGATGACATTCGTTGGTGGTCGCGCTAAATCATGAATTGGTAGAAGTTAGAATTCATGGACTGGCCATTGAATCGGTTCCCAGTGGCTGAATGGTATACGAGAATGGTATACGGAAGGTCCTGTGTTCGAATCCTGGTTGTGGGTGTGTACTGATGATGATTCCCAAACTAGGATGAAACAGCTGTCCAGTACTTCAGTGCTAGTTTTCAATGACTCTCGGTGTCATGTATGAAGACACTATCGGACCTTAACTGTGTCATGTTGTCGCTGAATGGTCAAAGCTACTTTCCGGTGACAGGAATGGAAAAAAAACAATATTGAAGAGATTAGGTTTTGAGAAGGTAGGGAAGAATCTAGCGCACTGCAGATCTCAGACCGTATACTTCATGTTGTTTAGGTTGTTATCACGAGGACATCAGGGTTGGATAATCAATTTGGTACATGCTCCTTCCACTTTTGACATACTACTATTAAACCTTCATCAGTACTCACACAACCACTCAAAAAAGGTGGATTCTCTGACTAAGCGTAGGTGGTGGATGAACAGGCTTTTGCTGCTACTACTACAGAGAATGGAAATATCATTACCTGCAGAAATGTTATGTTTTTTGTTTGTTTTCGACATAGAACTTTGCACATATGTGCGGAAGTTTAAGTCACCACACTCCCCCCATGTAGCACACAAAACAAGAGAAGAAAGTAGGAGAAATGCATAATATACACAGTAAACAGAGGTGTGAGACAAAGGAATAGTAATAACGAAGAACAAAACAGTTTACCTCGGAAACATAAGTAACAAGGAGTGGATGCATCTGCACCAGCCATTGAGAACGATCACTTTGAGCCATGTCACCAATTGTTTCCAACCACTGGTTTTCACCGTCCAGAGGACCCCAACCAGGAAGTCTACACCTTCCTACGTGGCTTAAACTAACTTTTGTAGATTTCATTGACTGGTGCCATGTTTTGGTTTGACCGCCTGACCCTATATCAGCTAACATTGCCTATCAGTCGAGGAAGGCGATGACTAGGCATACCGAGCACATGTCCTAACCATCTCAGTCGATGTAATTTCACAGTCTCGTCGATTGATTTCCCCTCCTTACCTAGCACTCGACGCCTAACCTCAATATTGCTCACCTTATTATACCACTTCACACGGGAGATAGAACGCAGACACCAATGATCGAAGACAGCTAATCTTTTCATGTCTTCTACTCTCAATGTCCAGGTCTCACAGCCATAAAGGAGGACGGAGCGGACTGTTGAGCAGTACACACGCCCTTTGGTCGATAGTCGGATATCACGTCTCCGCACGTATTGGCGCCTATCAGAAAGGCACATTTTAAACCTCAGAAAACTCGAAAATTGGTCTTACATCATGAAACTAGCAGCACTGACAATTTGGATATTCCATCGGTGAATAAAACCCTTACCCATTCAAATAAACTTAATACATACACACACACGCGCGTGCGCAGCAGCCATGCATAAATTCACACATTACCACCACCAACCAACCAACCACATGTGGTATTCCTCTCAAATACTCACCAAGACTGAGTAATACTACACACACACACACAACACATAAGTAAATATAGTAGAACTCACAGCTATTTCACCATAAACATGCATTGCACGGAGAATATCGCCTCGATCAATGTGTGGTTCCTGGAGAGAATAGTGAAAAATTAAAAAAAAAAAAATCTAAATACTATCATCAGATGATAAATGCATTTAAATATCTGCTTTATGATTCCAATTATTTTTTTCGCATCCACACATCAATATACTCTTGACGAAACAGTCCCAAGGCAAAGAAAAAACATAACTTAGTTGAGAATGAAGACGTATGACTGACTGACTTATCATTATTATTTCCTTTAATTCTTAGAGGGACATAGGGCTTCAGCCGTGCGTCTCCATTGCGTTCGGTTCTCTGCCAACGTTTTCACCTGGCTCCACGTCTGCCCTCTTGCTTTCATCTCCTCTTCACATGACCTCCTCCAAGTCACCCTTGCACTGACGACCAACTCACCGCTTACCTTTCGGGTTCCACTCGAGCAATGGCTTGTCTAGGGATGTCACTTGATGGTTTCCTCAGAGTATGGCCAATCCACCTCCATTTCTTCCTGCTTATTTGTTGCACAATCGGTTCCTGGTTGGTTCGCTCCCAGAGATGCCTCCCTGTTGCTGATCTTTTCTGGCTGGCCATCTGATCTTGAATAGTATTGAGCGAAGACAGTTGGCTGTTGATGAAGGTCTGTAGTTTGTTTGAGGTGCTCTTCATGACGCGGTGCCAAGTCTCTGATCCGTATAGTAAGTAGCACTGACTTCACATTGGAGTTGAAAATCCGGATCTTATTTTTCATGCTGGTAGTGCTGTTGACCTCCACACACAGTCTTGAGAGTAATGAAAGCTTGTCTTGCCTTCCCGATCCTCGCTGCTTTGATATCCTCGTCAATGACTGACTTATCAGTGTAGAACTTTCCGCATAGAAATGCATCAATTTCAATTGCTGCACTACACAGAGGCACACAAAAAGTTAGAAGGAATTTTGTAATGAAGATGAGACAATAATCAAATGAAGGTTATAGTAACGAGTAAATACATCTGAGCCACACTGTGGAAGATTAAAAGTAGGTATCATTAAAAGAGTCACCCATTGAAATAATAGAGAAGATTTGTAGCTCAGGTGGATGATTTGCAATTAATAGTGTTCTCTGAGCCGGTTGGTTTAGTTGCGAAGCTTTTGTCGTCCTTCTGGACAACATCTTCAGCGCCATATTTAGCACAAAGTGAAATGATTTAAATTTCTTCATGAGTGATATAATTGCGTCTCCTGGTAACTATCTTTACATATGTATTGACCATTTTCTATTGACTTGGATTTAAAACTTTCTGGTTACCTGATTTACTTTTTATTAGTTGGTATATTTCGTCTATATTAACGTGTTTGTTGATTGCATTTTCGTTTGAGTACCAGGCTTCTAAGAATTCCCTGACTGCACTTTTGGTGTTTCCTCTGTCTAAGATTTTGACATTATCCCAATCAAATTGATGACCATAATTGTCTATATGCATTGATACTAAAGAATACATATCGTGTCTTTTCACAGCTGATTTGTGTTCTTGGATTCTAATTCGAAGGAGACGCCCACTTTGGCCGATGTAATGCTTGTTTCAGTTCATACAATTTATTTTGTAAATGGTATTAATTTTATCTACTTTTTCTGTTGGATCTTTTGGTTTGCATAATATCGAATTAAGCGATTTTACTGGTTTGTGTGCTATATCTATATCAAACGGTTTCAATATTCTAGCTATTATTTCAGGGATATTTTTTCTTGTGGTCTTTGATGATGGTTCCTTGTTGATGTTTTGATTCGATTTTTTGATGAAATTTTGTGGATAACCATTCTTTTTGAAGACCGTTTGTAGGTATTTTTCTTCCATTCTTCTCAACTCTGGAGTGCTACAGTGTGTTTGAACTCTTTTAAACAATGTCTGCACACAGTTTCGTTTGTGAGTAACTGGATTATTGCTAGTATAGTTGAGTATTTGATCTGTGTGCGTTGATTTTCTATAAACTTGTGTCTCTAAATCTCCTGTGTTGGTTCTCCTCTGATTAAGACACTTAAAAATGGGATTTTGTTATCAAATTCTTCTTCTCTTGTGAATTTGATGTCTTCAAATATGTTGTTTATTAATTTATGAGTATATTCTAAATCATTTCTCGTAATTATTACAAATGTATCATCATCCCATTGCTGATTCTTACACCAGTTTTCCGGTATTCTTTAATGAGTTAGAGTAAATTAGATAACACTGCTTGAATAAAATCATCAAATAACATTATTGAGTAAGAAATTTAAAAAAAATTGATGTTAAAAGCCAGTTAAACGGCTCACATTATAATGATAAACATTAAAGGAAGAGATGAAGCATACTACAGTATTTAGTTTTCTATCAATTATGAAATTGCAAAACTCTTGCCTCATACTATTTAATGAAAACCACTTCAGTGACTGACTGACTGACTGGTTTCAATGTAGAACTTTGCACAGATGTGCAGCAGTTCGAGTCGCCACACTCCCTCCATGTAGCACACAAAGCCAGAGAAGAAGAAGAAGAAAATAAAAAGAAATGCAAAACAGAGATATGAGGCAAAAAGAATAGTAATATCGAAGAACTATATAGTTTTATTGGATATTATAAGTGTCTCAAGGAGTGGATGCATCTGCACCAGCCATTGAGAACGATCACTTTGAGCAATATCACCAATTGTCTCCGGCCATCATTGGTTCTTAGCATCCCGAGGACCTCAACCAGCCAGCTTACACCTTCCGTCGAGGAAGACGATGGCTAGGCCAAGCATGTGTAACACATGTTCTAACCATCTCAGTCGATGTAACTTCACAAGCTCCTCGATTGATCCCCCCCCACCTTACCTAGCACCCGATTAAAGTCTAGCCTCAATATTGCTCACCCTATTACACATACAACCTAACACGGGAGATAGAACGCAGGCACCTATATGATCAAAGACAGCTGCTAGCTAGCCAGGCTTTTCATGTCCTCCACTTCCAATGACCAAGTCTCACAGTCATCAAAAGGTGGACAGATCGAACTGCTGAGCAGTACACACGCTCTCTGGTAGACAGCCAACCGGATATCACGTCTACTAAGCCAGAGATGGCGTAAGCTCGAATATGCGAAACTAGCCCTCTGTATTCGTGCTGATGCAAATTCCCTAATAAGTGAACTGGTCAACATGCTCCAACAACCACTTCACTCTCCTATTTCTAAGCAAGGAGTCAATATAGTCCAGTCTTGTAGAGCACCATCATCTTACATTTGACAGTCACAGCGAATCGCATGCCAACATCTGATCTGAAGACTGCTGCTTAAGGTGTTCAGAAGACTCTGATCTATTTTATCAGCCAGCGTCTTTACCTAGAAGGACTACATTTTCCGCATATGCGAAGTCAACAAGACTACTATTCCCGTGAGTCGCAGAATTCATTTAGTTCTAAGTTTATTAGTACATCTATGATGAAATTAAACAGAAATGAAGACAGTGGGTATCCTTGACGGACACTACTGGCTGGCTGTAATCACTTCAGATGACAACTCTCCGTAGGCTCTTATCTGGCTGCATAAGTAATAATGTAGCAGACTCAATATACACTTCTGTTTATTAAGATTAATTTAGATCAGCCTACAGCTACACTTAACCTGCCGAACATCCAACACCTCCCTGAATGGGATATAGACACAGGTCCTCCTTCCTTAACTGATTATGCATTTCTTCTACTTCCTTCTCTTGCTTTGCGTGCTACATAGATTGTGGCGACTTGAACTGCCGCACATATGTGCAAAGTTCTATGTCGAAAACCGACCGACCGACCGACCGTCCTTAACTGAGATTACTAAAGCTGTCACTAATCTGAAGCAAGGCAAAGCAGCGGGACCTGAAGGAATGATTCCAGAGGTATTAAAGTACGGTGGAGACAGTTTACTATCTGCATTAACGGAGGTTCTAAGCAGCGTCTGGGAATCAGAGGAAGTCCCATCGGTTTGGTGTAAGTCACTGATCATCCCGATATACAAGAAGGGAGACAAGTCTTCCTGTGAAAATCACAGAGGGATAGCTTCACTAATATAGTAGCTAAAGTCCTAGGATCAATAATACTGCGCAGACTAAGTGGTGCTCGGGAGGCACAAACACGAGAAAACCAGGCAGGTTTAAGGCCAGGAAGAGGGTGTATTGATCTTATTTTCACCCTTCGACAGATTCTAGAACATGGGCATACCTACCGGCGTCCAACAATCATTATATTTCTTGCCCTAAAGCCGGCATTCGATTCTGTCGACCGAGAGGTTCTCTGGCGATGCTTGGCTGTAAAGGGAATTCCGAGAAAATACATTGCACTGATTAAGGCACTCTACTCGTACTCATGCAGCCAGGTGAGGGCTTATGGCGAGTTGTCATCTGAAGTGGTGACGACTAGTGGCGTCCGTCAAGGATGCCCATTATCCCCATTCCTATTCAACTTCATCATAGACGTACTAATGGACTTAACCCTAACACACTTCAGCGACTCAGGGATTGACTTGCTACCAGGGAATAATCTCATTGACTTAGAATATGCAGACGATATAGTCCTTCTAGGCGACGACGCTGACAAAATGCAGAGTCTTCTGAACACCTTGAGCTGCAATCTTCGTATGTTTGGCATGTGATTCGCCCCTGTAAAATGTGAGATGATGTTACAGGAGTGGACTAGACCGACCCCTAGATTAGAAATAGGAAGTGAAGTGGTAGAGCACGTTGACCGCTTCACTTACTTGGGAAGTACCATCAGCCCCAACGGGTTGATCTCCGACGAAATCTCAGTACGAATACAGAGGGCTAGTTTCGCATATGCCAGTTTACGCCGTCTCTGGCGTAGACGTGATATCCGGCTGGCTATCGACCAAAGGGCGTGTGTACTGCTCATCAGTCCGCTCCGTCCTCCTTTATGGCTGTGAGACCTGGCCATTGAGAGTGGAAGACATGAAAACACTGACTAACTGTCTTCCATCACAGGTGTCTGCGTTCTATCTCCCGTGTGAAGTGGTATAATAAGGTGAGCAATATTGAGGTTAGGCCTCAGTCGAGTGCTAGGTGAGGAGGGGAAATCAGTCGACGATACTGTGAAATTGCATCGACTGAGATGGTTAGGACATGTGTTACGTATGCCTAACCATCGCCTTTCTCGACGGGCAATGTTAGCTGATATAGGGTCAGACTGGAAAAGAGCTAGCGGCGGTCAAACCAAAACATGGCACCAGTCAATGAAATACACAACAGTTAGTTTAAGCCAGCCACGTAGGAAGATGTAGACTTCCTGACTGGTTGGGGTCCTCGGGACGGTGAAAACCAATGGTTGGAAACAATTGGTGACATGGCTCAAAATCGTTCTCAATGGCTGGTGCAGATGCATCCACTCCTTGTGACTTATGATTTTCAATGAAACTGTTTTGTTCTTCGTTATTACTATACCTTTGTCTCACACCTCTGTTTACTGTCTCTAATATGCATTTCTCCTACTTTCTTCTCTTAGTTTGTGTGCTACATGGAGTGTGGCGACTTGAACTGCCGCACATCGATGCAAAGTTCTATGTCGAAAACCGACCGAGATCAGGTTTGAATTAACTACTGTGTAGCACATCTTTCAATAGACACACTGTACTACAATGAAAAAGAAAGAAACCTAGATTTTACACTATGAACAGTTTCCATAAACACCTACATTTGTATTAATTATTCTATAAAGCAGCACTCCTAGGTGGTTTTCAGTGGTTCTCTAACTGATGCAAATCCGCTGTTAAACTTGAAACAAATCAAACCCGTACAAACTAAATCTTGAAAATTAATCTCATGCTTGCTAGTAACTAACTAACTCACCACAGGATGAAGTTACCTGGAGTTCGAGTGAGAAGTCATGACCACTGAAGTTCACATCCTGTCAGAAGTGAGGACAGATAGTTGCCAGCGATGACATTGGCTAGTGCAAGTCACACTAAAATATCACGAATTGGTAAAAGTTAGAATTCATGGATTGGCCATTGAATAGGGTCCCATTGACTGAATAGTCTAAGAGCCAGACTTGCGACCTGAAAATCCTGGGTTCGGACCCTGGCGATGAGTGCCAAACTAGAATAAAACAGCTGGCCTCGCTAAGCCGGTTGAAAGCGCGGTAAAGAGGCAAAGTTGGGAGTGGGGCTAGCAGCTCTACCCCGTAAAAATGATACCACACTGCTACTGAAACTTCAAGACTGAAGCTTAAAGCTCTCTCTATGTTCCACTGGGAACGGAAAGGAATAAAACTGTAACAATGAGAAACATCTATTGAACGGAGGGCGATGATACTACTTACTACCTACTTGTCAAGACTTCGGTAATATGATGTGGAGTTGAAGCCTGGCAACGAAGTGATTGAAAGTCACAAGCATCTAAACCAATAAGCCACACACACCACACAGCCTCTGTAAAATATCGTATACAAAAAAAAAAATAGTAATGCATAGCATAGCATACCTCTAAGTATCGCTCCATCTCCTTTAATAGCAAAGGATAACGACCCAAGCGTTCAAACACTAAAGTGAGTTGTTGTTTACAATGGTGTGATTGAAAGTTAATGTTGAATGACGCCATATGTTGTGTAACTTCTGAGCTACATAAATAAGTAAAGATATCAAACACGCAAAACTCAATACGAGATAGTACAGAAAAAAAACATTCAAAATCAAGATAAACGTTTAATTCAATTTAGACTTTCCCTCAATTGTTGGACCGAAGTGCTCGGTTTCAGGTTGACATGTCGGCTCCTTGTGCAGATGCTTCAACGACGTCTGGTCATGTAACTTGAAGTCAATTGGTTGACATTGACTAGCAGTGGAATCCAGAACGCGCATTTCGTCCTATTTGGGACTGACTCGTCAACTGGATGTACCTGCACTCCCCAGTGAGTGAGATGTTCTCATCGAGGCTCGAACCCAGTACCCATAGTCTCAAACGCCAAAGCGTTATCCACTAGAGAGAGCACTTAGGCTACGAGAGCCACCTCTTGTGCAACGGGTCTCGGTGGGGACACCATCATTTACTGAGGAATGCAGGCACATCCAGTCGATGAGTCCCAAATGGGACGAAATGCGCAACCTGGATTCCACTGATAGTCACTATGAACCAAGATTTGGTGGACAGGAGGTCAAAATGAAAAGATGACGATGATGAAATACGGTGAGTAGAACTCATAAGGTCAAGAAAAATTATCTCTTATGGATGTCAAACAAAAAAAGATAAGTTAATGAAATGAGGAAACAAAGAACTACCGAGGGATGAGTCACCAGGATAACTGAAGTCCAACGACAGATTCCTTTTCCATACATAGGTCATGTTTCAGCTGGTTTATTGTGATATTCTCAGTTAACTATTTAGAATGATCCCAATATGTGCAATCGGATGTTTGGTGATTGAAGAGCTTAAATTGTCTGGCCCCTTTAACCGGAAGTCCCTTGGTACATCTTAGAAGAATCTGACGTAGGCCCTTCTTCCAAAGTAACTGCTCCCGCAGAAACATGTGAACTGGTATACATAGTTGAAGGAAACACATTGAATTATTTTATAAACGATTACAGGTTGTATGCAGCTGACGAGAGCCGACGAAATAAAATAGATGCATGTTATTCTGCACCAATGTCTGTTGTTCTTTTTCTGTTCAAATTTATAAAAGGGAACTCTTGTATTAATTATGTACCTAAGTGTAAGCTATCCGGATAGAAAACTCAAGGCGTACGGAACTAAGATTGAATAATCTCAGCGGTATGATTCGAAGCAATTGTTGCATTTTATGGCACTGTGCACTAACCACCACTCTCTGAATCTTCCTCTATCAGGGGTTTTTATGATAAACATTATTCTCTTTTCACCGGTTCGCTATGACAACTTGGGTTGTGCTAGGAGTGATTTAAACGAACAGTCTGAAGTTGCGACCTAAAGTGAAGTGTGACTTAAATGCTCGCTTAAATTTCCAGCATCATTTCATTATTTTAAAAAAGATAAGTATTTACATATTAATTTTTTTATTACAGCTTGATTCCACACCGTTTTTTGGACAGTATGGAATTTTCAGCATGTATATCGGTAGGCCAAATTTTGCAGGCCAACCATATATATCAGGTGTGGTCGGCAGAGGATCGAACCCGGACCATGTGCATGGTCGACGAGAGCTGAAAAATGGGTAAGACTCATTGTATTTGCTCCCACGGAAATCTTTAGTAAAAGGTGAAAGATTTATCCGCAAATGAGGAGACACCGGAGTTATCAAAGGATACTGGAAGCAACTTACTTATGCTCTTCTAATCCTGTTATTATATGTAAATATATTTTTGAATAATCACAACCAACAGCGTTGATTGCTGGAGCAAATTCCAGAAACAATCGACCAATACACTTCGGTTCATGTAAGCTGCCAAGATAAAAGTTAGTTTAGGTGATAATTACCATTTCATTTCATTCAACGCTGAAGCTAAATGTTGATGTATCCTAATTGCCTGTTGTAATAAATCTTTTAAATGGATAAGTTTGTTTAAAAAGGATCTATAAGAGGAGGGGGAGGTTATTTAACAAGTCAATAGAAATACTAACAAATGGAGTAGAGGCTCTAAAGGAACCATAAAAATTGATAATAGTTGAGATAGCTCATTGATTTGTCTTAATTCACCTTCAAGTATATGTTGTATAATCTAGAGTGGGTGGGAGGAGGTGAGAAAAAAAGGAAATAAATAAATGAAGAATATATCCTCTCACTTCATTCTGAAAGTTCTGTAGATGAATTAACAAACCATCATCAACCATTACTTGGTCATCTTTTTCGTCTATAAGGAAAGTAATAAGGAGTTAACAGTACATACCTGTAGTAATAGTAGTACAAGTGACATAATTGCTTGGAAACCATCCAACAACTCCATTTAAACTGCCTTCCCACCAGCCACCTTCTAACTGCTGTTTCACTGTTATCACATCACCTTTTTTGAATGAAAGCTACCAAAGGAGAAATAAAAGGTATAATTCAGTTGGAATTCAAGTAATGATTGTAGAAATCAGGATTACGGGTTAATCTATCCGCTGTTTTAATGTTAACAGAACTTTCAGAAACATTAGTAGAAGAAGTGGAAACATTAATTTCCAGACACGAATTTAAAAGAAGCAACAAAGGTGAATATATATAGGCAGGATTTAATGAATTCATCAAATTTCGATAGAACTCTTCCCCAGATGAATACTCTACATACAGGGAATTATATACACTGCTAGAATTACATTGGGGCATATAAGACTGATAAGCAAATAAACTACATTGAATTAATCAGACAAAATGACAGGTGTGAGTGAATGTTTTTCAGGCCGGTCATGTTCAAATAGATAAGGCTGTAAGGTATGCTAGCCTTTGAAAGTGGGAGACACGAAGAGGCTATCTGTCTTTGTTATCGAGGTATTATTAAATTAATAATTACTACTAAAGAAAAATTTCATATGACAATAATCATGATATGATGTGATGTTCACTCGTCTCCAATAGATGAGGAGACTTGTTCCCATTAACATTTATGCAGTCAGTATATTAGTACTGCAAGGAAGTTGGACTGAACTACATCTGACACACCAAACAAGCTACACAATTCACGTATATGTATGCATGCCAGGAAAAACTCCTTATAGGCAAAAACCATTGAGTTCACTATGCATAAGAAATGCTATACAACGTAACACCAACCTGAGAAACATACGATGGATAGCAAATATGTAGTAATCTAGCATTGAAGAGCCTCCATCTACTCCTATGCACTATTAAGTCATTTCATGAAATTGTGTCAGCTTCGACTGTCTGGTTAGTGAGGAAATCTGAGAATGGATATATAAAGCTTATTCAGTATTTGCTAACATTCATAACTTCGGTCACCAAAGTGTATTCATCAACCAAGTCTCGAAGATTGTGCGTATCGTACATCAATTTCTTATGTGCTGCTGTAAAACTGAAAGTAACATGTTTTCACTCACGTGTCTTCGTTCAGTTGCTCACGCTAAGTAACACAAGGTGTTAACTAATGTATTAAGGCGTAGTGTTAGATAGCAAAAGTAAGTCATTCAGTAAGGCTGTGTACCAAGGCAGATTCATTCAGAAAGCAATGTTGGTTATTGTTCCTGGAGCCTTATTGATTGACAGATTGTGACTCTGGTGGTGAAATCAAACCGTAGATGCGTTTAATTCTAACAGCATTAGGTATAGTAAAGCTTAAATTGATCTTAATCAAAATATTACCACTCTCACACTCAAATATGTTCACTATAGTATTAATGAGTTTCTAATTCATTCACAAAGACTACCTATTTCGAAGAGTGGTAACACGGACTGAAACAAAACTTTGCGACAGCTTATGCTGATCTATTTATCTGTAGTAATTTCTTATAGGGATTTTGAGTACATCACTACGAGTTTTTACTAATACTAGTGAAACCTTAACTACACCATTACACTGACTGAATAACTGAGTTCCAACAGAATTGATATAGCGGTTTATGTTGTCATACTCTACTGAGCACAAAATTAAGGGGAAGAAATTCAAAAAAAACTATAATGAGCAGAAATATACAGGAGAAAGAATAGTAACATGGAAAAACATGAGGATTTATAAAGTGGGAGAATACAAGGAGTGAATGCGTCTGCGCCACCGAGAAAGCACATATGGCACGGCATACAAAAAGCCCCTTACTGTGCCCAGTGGCTCCGTGGGAATTTATTAGATACTCCACTATACGACCTCACTAAAATACAAAGACTGGCTTGCAGGTAACCAGGACACAGCATTTGAGCAAACTACGACACTGATTTATAACCGAAAGCAGGTAACAACCTTTTTACGGATTCTTCCAAGATGAAGCTACATCTTAATACACCCCCAATATGGACTGAAGTTTCAGAAGCACTTAAGTGTTACGCGGAGCTAAATTACAGAAAACTAGTTCCATTATTAACTCCCTTAGGTTCCGGGTGGGAAACAGCGTTGTAATAGCGCATCAACATTCCATCCTGATTTTTGCAGCTGTCGTTAGCTGCTTCCAGGATTATACATAAGCTTCCAATTTTTATGTTACTTGGTGATCTTGTGTACACGAACCACTATACCATTTATCTTAAGAGATTTTCCGACCATGTGCATGAAATTTCAAAATAAGTCGTCTCAAAAAAACATCGAAGTTAAACTATAGCAACCAACTTCATCAACCTCACCCCAATGACCGTAAACTACTAATCAGAATAGAGGAACAATAGAAGTTGCAAAACTCTTAAAAACATCATGTTTTCCTGAAAAATGCTCATCTCTCCAATTTTTTAGTCTACCTGAAAATGAAACTCCCAGAAGTAATTAGTCACTAGTCATCATCGTATATGCACGCATTTATAAGTCAAATCTCAACATAATACACACAGTAATAAAACGTTCAATCTGCCTAGGATGAACAGACAAACTTGAGACGATGTTTTGGTATAAGTGAAGTAAAAATGCTACAATCTTATACTTTTTAAGTACGGACAACAGCGGTGATAAAATAGTATACTGATTTCGCTGAAAAAAAATTGTCATTATAGACTAACATAAGCATTCAACAAAAGTTATGACCAATATAAGTGACTAACCTCATCTGTGTGCTGACGATTGTAATCGTAAAGGGCACACACAAGTAACGATTTTTGAGGCATGCGCAAAAATTACATCGTGTAGACAAATAATGGGTCAAGTCAAGAAGTTTGATCCCGAAGTAAAGTAACGCTACGATCAGAATGACCGCCTATTTTGTGTTTAGATTTATGGATTTTAGTACAAAATAGAGGGTTTAAAGGGATTTGAATACAATGTTTTGACCTTTTTCAACAGAATCTGTCCCATTTCTCTCTGGTGATCTAGGCACATGCTTCGTGGAGTTACGACTCCGGTTGGTGGCAGTGGACAGAGCCTCTGCCTCTGGTACAACCCAGCATTCGTTCTACACTTAAGGCGGATCTTCACTGCACCTCAGTCGAGTTGGTATATGGCACCACCCTCTGTTTACCGAGTGGGGTTATCGCTCCTGAAACTTTTGAGCCAAACGTCACTGATATCAGCTGTTATACCCAGAGTCTTTATGGCTTATGCAGCGGATTCGACCAATTTCCATACGCATCCAGAACAAGAAAGTACACGTAGATACTCGACTCGATTATTGTACACATGTTTTCGTGCGCTATAACGCTGTGCGTAAACCCCTACAACCTCCATATGACGGACCTTTCAAAGTCCTTAGTCGGAAGGAAAATTGTTTCGTTATTGGGCGACTTGGCTGCCAGGACACCATAAGCATCGACAGACTCAGGGTGGCATACATTGAAGAAACCTTATCCTCCACGTCCACCCCCCCCCGAACATTTCCACCGAAACTATTCCCAGTCCAGATTCCGCTACTGGACCTCCGGTGGTTAATGATAATTCTCCTTCCATTATGGGTAATTTTTATTTTGATAGAGCTCACAGTGTTATACAGTAATATTTACTGATGACGTTTCGAGCACAAACTATTGCTCATAATCATGTCAATTATATAACACTGTGAGACTCATCAAAATAAAAATTACCCATAATGGAATACATCTACCACATCAGATAATTCTCCTTCTACAGCTGGGTACCAATCAGTTGGAAAAGAAACCTAATTAGATCTCTTGCTACTACCGTCCAACGCATCTGCAGCTCTGATACCCTGGAAGAAGAACTGCACTTCCTGAAAGAAATCTTCATACAAAATGGTTATCCACCAAGATTCATAGACAAAAACATCAAACAGAAAATCAAAAAGCACAGACGCCATCCCTGCCAGATAAGATACTTTATATGAACCTTGACTTCAAAGGCGACCTACTCAGTGATGTCCTTAGGAGGAAAATTCCCACTTCTTTAAGAAATTTCTTTGCGACAACATTGAGAGTATTGTTATCCAGTCGCCCGCTGATCTGCAGAAACCCAAAGGACAAGATCCCGCAACTGCTCACTTCTATGTGTATATTTCAGTTCACCTGTTACTGTTGAGCCAGGTACGTCATTCGTTCGTTGCGTATCCTGTCAAAAGGGGTCAAAGAACACTATCCAGCGTGGCTGCAGAAAGTAAGTAGTGGTCGTATAAGTAGTGAAATAAACGGACATCTCGTCACCACCGGTCATTCCCTCTCAACAAACGCCTCCTTCAAATTAATCTACAAAGTGAAGAGCAACCGGCCAAAGACAATACGTTCCCGTCTTCTTTGCATTGCAGAAGCCCTAGCTATTCAGTTGGAAGAACTAGAACTATGCATACATAAGAAAATTATTGAACCACTTCAACTGTCGTTGTAACAACTCCGTTGATTTCGCTAAAGTTTTGCTTGTTTGTTTGATTTGACTCAACTTTTGCTTCTATGCTTATTTTTCTACCAACTTAAAACTCTTGCGTAATTCCGTATGTTATTTTGTTTCTATGTACACCCTGAGCACAACTCTTTCAGCAAACTATTCATGTTATTGCGTAACTCTTCTTTAACAATCGTTTGTGACAACTCATCACTTTTGTTACTATCCTCTTATATCAACATCCAATTCATCTTAACTTACTAAATGTATTTTTGTTTGGCAAATTTAGTGTACACACACAAAACAACCATATATATTTGCGATTATACAGCTATGAAAATGAATTCGATGAAAAGAGACTCTACGCTGAACTACTGGTCTTCTTTCTGCTCATTATGTTCGAATGGAAATTTTTCATAAATTCTCCTACTACCGTGCGTTGCACAGAAGCACTGGCTCACGAACGTGGATCGCTTGAACTTCTACACTGCAGACTCAAATGCAAAGGCCAGGATATTAACCTCATTACTAAATACCGCAGTCCTGACTGCAGTGCAGACGACTTCCCGATCGTGAAACTGGTCTCCTGGACATCGAAATGTCGGAGTCTTGTAGTCGGAGGCTTCAACACCCCGACAGTTGACTAGATAAGCCTTACAGCACCATCTTCAGACAACTTCTTTGATCATAAACTGATGGAATCTAGTATTTCGCTGGCCCTAGTCAACATGTCATGAAGCCCATGCGCTATGAGTCACAGCAGCCAACTCAGTGAACTGGTACATCAACCTAGAGTTCCAAGAATAAGCTGCATAGAACCAATTAGGATAACTTTATGACCGAGTAACTGAACCTTTCATCCCTTGATCTGTTCCAAAGGATCGGAAACATTGACTCTCTTGGAATGACCGAGAGATCCGCAAATTACTTGGACATAAACACAAACGTTGGAACTTGTTTGCCCCACTTGAGACTCCTGAGACCAGAAAATTTTGCAACACTTCTAGGAACAAAGCTACTGAGGAAATCCGCAAATCAAGAATGAAGCTCACGACACATCTGGCTGAAAATGCAACGACACGACCGAAGAAAATTGTCTCGTACATGAACTTCAGGAATAAGACATCTAACGGTGTCCCAAACCTGACTATTGACAATGACACAACAGGAGAAGATCAGATAAGAGCAGAAGCAATGGCAGACTACTTCTTCCAAGTCTTTACACAGGAGCCACTCCCCATCGCATCAGCTCTGGCTGCGTTAGAGGAACGGGGGATAGATTCGTTAACATTGACCAAGACATCGTGCTCAACTTTCTAAAGAAATTAGATGCAAAGAAATCAATATATCCTGATAATCTTCATCCACGGCTTCTCAAGGAGCTATCAGCTCACGTAGCCGGCCTACTGCCGGAAATCTTCACCCTACCTCTCCTAAATGGAATGTCGCCAAGTGGCTGGAAAGGCGCCATGGTAACCTTCATCCACAAAGGAGGATCGAGAAAAAGCCCTTCAAATTGCGGGCAAACTGTTCTTACCAGCACTTCAATCAAGACGCTGGAAAGAATCATCAAGAAAAGTATCGTGGCATATCTGGAAAAGAACAACTTGTTATCCAGAGCACAGCACTGCATCCGAAGAAACCTCCCATGCCCGTCAGATCTTCTCGCTGCAAGAGGAGGCTGGGTCAAATCAAGGGATAACAGAAGACCTGTTGACGTCGTCTTTATTAACTTCAGCAAAGCCTTCGATAAAGTTCCCCACGAACGACTACTCATGAAGTTGGATAGTCTTGGTATCAAAGGCGACTGGCAAAACTGGACTTCCTTCCTGCACATCAGTACCTAGCGGAGAGCCACAAGGTACTGCAGTCGGACCTTACCTATTTAATTTGTATATCAATGAGTTATCTCCGCTCATAGATTCCTCTCTGGTCCTATAGGTAGGTGACTTACAAAATCTGGAGAGGAATGACGGGTGATAGTGATACGCCCACATTAGAAGAAGACCGCCACAAATTGTCAGAGTGGCCCAGAGAATGGATGTTCTGGAAATGTGCAGTCATGCGCATCGGACACGCAAGCATCACATCCTACGAACTAGAGGGAATAAAACTCTCATCAGGTGGCAGGGTGATGACTGGTATTCCCAGCATTAACTTATACAGGTGGGGACAATCATCATTCGTTTCTCTTTTATTTGTTTACTGCCATAAACTTGAACTAACCGCAGGTACGTAACACTATGAAATTCAATGACTATAAATTCTTAGTAATAAAAAAGGGAATGAACCATACGTTTTTTAAAATAAATAATGTTTGCCGGCCGCCTCTGCACCTCCCTTGTTGTTTTCCATTGTCTTCTCTTCTCAAAGGTACTGCATCGGGGCACTGCATATGTAGAGTAATGTTAATCTCTACATCTGTATTACTTGAGAGGAGTTTTGAAATCACTAGAACCTGCATTTCATAGATATTCGGAATATTGTTAGCACATATCATGAATAATGGAACAACCCTCGTCCCACAAATCTGCTAATATCAAAGCAATACAGCACTTACCAGCCACTGTAGAATTTTATAAATTTTCACACCATTTATAACTGATTAACTGATAATGATTCTAGGTTCTGCATTCTATATGACTTACTCAAGCACCTGTGCATCATCTTTCTTCTTGCCTTTAAACAACGGAAAGTATCTGTAATCCATCCAACGCATACTTGGTTTTTTTTGTCAATGCGAAGTCAATATCTCTATATTTCTTGATGTGTTCCATTGAATCACCAGTTATCCGATTTTTAACACAAACTGAAGATAAAATGACGGCAGCCATGTTATTCAACCGTAATCCATGTAATCTAAATATGTAACTTAAATAATACTTATCCATGCCTATATAACTTGTGTGTCCTATATTTGTAGGAATAAATATGTACCTTATAATATTATCATTACTAACTATACTTACCAATCGTATGTGTAGTTTATCGAATTGATGATGCTTGTAAACTAGCGTCCCTCATGTAAAAAAATGAGAATATACTATTATTATTAATATTATTATTTTGCAACTCCCTCCTGAAGTTGACTGACTATACTTATATCAACGATTTTAATTAAGACTCCTGATAGAAAGCCGTTCATCTGGGAGTTAACAGACATTGAAACAGTTAGGTCATCCGCATACTTAAAAAAGTTCATTTCATCAGCGTGAGGCAAGTCATGCAAGAAAAAAGAAAACAGATAAGAAGAAGGAACAGAGCATTCACGGACACCGGCCTCAGTAGGCAATGAAGAAGACGACCTCCACTGACATACAGTGTACTGCTTTCTTCCTGAGAT